GCATTTATTCACACTGTTGCCAAGCCACCGAGAGATGTGCGAATTAAGCAGGAGCTTCATGGAACTGCTTCTCAGCCTCAGCCTCAGGCCAGGTGCAGGTGGGTTTCAGCATCCTAAATATAGAGAAATATCTACACAGGTTTGATGATTAGCTTGTGGTTTTGTTTTTTAATACTTTGTTCAGGTATGTATATATTTGAGCAATGTTCCTTATTATAAAGTTCATAAACAAACAATATTTAAAATCCCATGGTAGGGTATTGTTTTTGGCAAATGCGTAGTAAGCCTTATGCTTGCTCTCCGCATCCACATAAAAGCCCTAGACTACAAAGTGATCTCTCATCAACAGCAGCTTAGTGAGGTCATAACCTGTGGGCTGAAATGCTTTTTGGGTGAGCTTAGCTAAACAGGAATTAGAGCAATGTGCCTCGCTTCCTTTTTGTTTTCACATTATTGGAAGATATGCTCACTAGCTGTAGTGATGGAGACTCATTTGACATGCATTGATTTTGTTTTGTAGATAATAATTGTGTTCATAGAATAATGCACTGTATTGTTATTTCTTCATTTACCAGTGTCAAGGCTCCGGACAGCAGACCGAAGCCGAGTTGTAATGAGCCCAGCAGGTCCAGCAGCGGCAGCAGCAGCAGCAGTTCAGGGCCAAGCAATACACAAGACCCTCGCAAAAAGACAAGTGAGCGTACAAAAAATTACTGTAGATGCAATGGTGTTACATTTGCTTCAGCTGTTCAAACTGACAATTTCATTTCATTTCTTCTCTTTTTGTCCAGTCATACTATGCAATTTATTTCATTTTTAAAGAAATCCGTTTTGGTTATTTGATTTCAGGTCATAATGAAAGTTGACTAAACATTTTACTTCCATTCTTACTACAATTGTTTTCCCCTTTTCTTCACACAGGAGTTGCTCCAATGATGGCAAAGTCTTTAAGGGCATTTAAGAATCAACTGGGGCGCAGATAAATGCTCTAATATGATCTGGTATATTTACAGTGTGTGGATGTGGAGGAAAAGGCGCTCTGTCATGCATTAACTTTGAACAATATAAGGCCTGTTATCACCTTAGATTATTATGTGTTTGTCTAAATGTACAAGCATTTTCCATTATTTTTTTCTCTGTGAATTTCCTTTACTATTAAAGGCACAATGGAAATAGCAACTTTATGTGATTTGATATTTTGTCTTTTAGTCTGTTTGAGCTAAACGATGTTTCTTGAGCTAAACAAGGGTATGATTTAATGGGGTGTGGCTCCCTCTATAGGAAGTATAGAGAAGTGTGTGTTTTTACTTGGTACATTTCTCCCACAATCTCTTTACCACACATACAACCTCGGATTGTCTATCGATAAATGCAATTTTATACATGAATGTGTTTAAAAATGTAAAAAAATTAAATTACTTTAATATATTTGAACTCTAAATGTAACCACATTCAACAATGAACCCTTAAAAATAAGCGTTGAAACTTATAACAAACTGTATTAAATACACACATAACATAACCAGGTTAATCGTTTTAAACGTTTTTAAATACCAAATTGTTTGTGTTCCAATCAACCTGGTTTTAAGGCAAACTATTTTGAGTAAGTTCAAGTTCAACAAATTGTTCAACATAATGAAAAGAAAGCAGTTATTCATCGGCTCACTGTAATCTCTGTTGTTTTTATAGGGAAAGGCATCTGCTGTCTGCCAATTCTCAAGGACCCTTCCTGTCTATTTTAGTTTTTTAGGACAACTGTTTGAGATATTAGAGGGAAGTCTTTGAAACTGAAGCAGCCTTCAGCACCACCTGTGGCAGTCTGCTAAGACTGAAACAATAATCTATCTTCACGTTACATTTATTGGTTTGAGGTGGGCTGCTTTAAAATCGTGTATTGTCTTACAAATCTTGTGCTGTAACTAAAGGAAAAAGTCTATTTTTATCATCCATTTGCTTATACCCGGCAACCAAAATACCTGCTTATTTATTTTAAAAACCGATTTTAAAATTACATTTTTTTAAATGTCTTACACTCCAAATGTCAAGAGGTATATAGCTTTAGGTTTAAGCATAAGCCAGACCTTACTTACCTTTGAGAGGGTTGGCTGTATGCCCTCATGATCCTGCTATTGTTTAACCTCTAAGTAATTACATTCAATATATTTTAGAATTGACAGGAATTATACAGATTATAATTAATTTCAATACATAAATAAAAAAAAATGAGTATTTAAATAAAATCAAATAGATTTAAATGCTTAAAAATAAACTACCATGATTCGTTTCTGTGAATGTAAATTACATTTTCCTTCCACAAGGTGACCTCTGTTCTGAGGGCTGAAGGTGATCTGACCTCTGCCCTTGGAGAGAGATAGCATTTATTTATTTTTGGATATTAAAATGATGCAAAAGCCATCATTGGGCCTTTCTTATTTCTATAATTTCCCCTCCTTGACTCCTCGAATCCTCGGTCCTCCGGTAGTGTCCCGGAAATGGTTTCCGGCCCGCCATGTTGAAGGACATCTAATTTCTAATGCACATCGAGGACCGAGCGTCGAGGAGGCTCTCTGGAGGAGCTATAATCAAGGACACTGATGGGTCCTCCACGGCTCCTCCGGGGACACATTTCCGGCAACAGTGATGTTTAAAAGAGTCGCGAAGCGCGGCCGGACTTATCTCAGACAATGACAGCTCTGCATGCATATATATATGCATATATATGTAAATATGTACATAATATGTGTGTATATGTCCGCATCTGTAGCCTGTTATTGTCTCATTATACCGCACTGTGAATGAATTAAAAGTAATATATAAATCATCATGAACACAGTCCTGCCCATCAGATAGAGTCCTGTCATCATTAACGGACGTCTCTTTAAAATGACCGCTCAGAGGAGAGGATTTCTCATTTCTCTATCCGCCTGCTGCTTCCCCTCCTCTCTCCTCGGTTCCCCTCCTCCTCGGCTCCTCTGCTCGCATCTCCTGTGGGCGGGACTAAGACACGAGGATAGGAGTCGAGGAGGGGAAATTAGTGAAATGAGAAAGGCCCATTGAGTCTTAAGGAGTTCATTTTTACTTGTGCAGGATGTGATGAGTCAATTTTAAAGAGACTTCAAAACATTTGTTCACTGATCAGGAATTGGACACATTCCTGCATTTGGACCCAAAGTAAAGCTAAAGAGGATTTAAAAACCATGGGGAATCATGTTAGTATGGAAGGATTGACAACTGGGCAAAGCGTGTGCACATACCCAGGGGCCCCACAAGCCCCAGGTTCACTGTGCAGCACTCAGTTATACTGTATATTGTTGACACGTTGTTAATGACTACACAGCATAACGTATGTGCAATATTAACATTGGTAAGAGAACAATAGGTTCCTTGTGGCAAAATCTTTCTTCAAGATAATTATTTCAGCTGATATTGTGCTTACATGTGCGCACCTTAAATCTGTCTAAGTTTAATAACAAAATCACAAGGTCAACTTAAGGCCATGTAATATTCTATCATATAAATACCGTTTAAAATGTAAAGTGGGGAAGGAGATGTCAAATTGCATTTTTTTGTAAAAGCCAAGCTTAAATCCACTTTGAAAACAAACAAACTAAAGAACTAAATATTACCAGCAAAATGTTAATGTTGCAAGCTGAGATGGAGCTAACAACTGTTGTTTGGTAGGTATTTAATAATAGCCACAAAAGGATAGGCCTGATCATTCCCAGTTTTAAACATGCTGCTGGACCAAAAACCTACACCACATTTAGTAGATTTTATGACATTTCTCATTTACAAACGCACAGAAAAAAATCATATTTATCCTGAGAGTATCCATGTCCTCGTCCTTAGAAACGGCCATATCTATATTGGTAGAAAACCTGTTAAATATGTTGACACTGTTGTCATATGAGAAACAAGCTCTGTGGTAAATGTTTCTACATTATTATACAGATACTAAGCTGTCACTATACATGAAATAAGCATTATTATGAAATAATGCATAATCAGAAACCTATATTGTCAAAACAGTAGAGAAAATGTTTTAACATTATTAAAGATGATTCACAATAAATATACAAGGATATGCAAATGTACAATTACAATTTAGGCCTATAGCAATAAATAACATATAGGATGTGAAGCACTTTTATGGGTGGCAATAGCTCAATCTGGAAGAGCTTTGGAACCAAAGGATTGTAGGCTCAAGTCCCCATAGGACCAAAACACCGACTGATTGCTGGAGAGTTTACGTGCTGGGCATACGTCCTAGAGCAAGTAACCAAACCCTTGAACTACTCCAGGGTGCACAACCATTGTCAGCTCTGCCGGGCCGCCCCTCCCTACGCAGATCACGCAGACTGCGTGGGGCCTCACCTCGCGGATGGGACCTCATCTTGCGGAGGGAGCCTCTACTGCGCCGCACCTTTATGCGGCAGCAATTAGTGTAGGCGCGACACAGTTTCGCCGCGGCAAGGCTCCACTGACACTCCCCAGTCCCCGTCCCGTCGACGCTCACGACACAGAGGGCCTCATCATATCACTTTGCGTGGGGCCACAAGCTGGCCAGGGGCGACCCTGCAGCTCTGACACCTCTCCACTATGCATATGTCATGTTTGTGCATGTGTGCATTTCTGGCTTATGTGTGTTATGTAAAGTAGTGTAATACACCAGAGTGAAAATTGAATTTCCCCTCAGGAATTTATAAAGTAGTATGTCTTAATCTTATGTCCTAATCTTAATCTTCAAAACACTTTATCATAAAGCTTGTTCGACTAAGTGTATGAAAACTACTGCAGATTTTCATAATCTCAGGATACACATTCATATATAACATATATATTTATATACAGTATAATCAGAAAACCCTTCCCTATAGACTTCTCAGTGTATTTCTCAATCCTCGTCAGGGTTGGATAAACACCGATTCGCGCTCAGCCAATCAGAAGCCGAGTAGGGCGGGTCCTCCGCCAGGAGCGTGACGTAGGATTGGAATGAGGGAGTGAATGTTCCGGGTCAGAAACTGGACGGGAGAGGAAATTAACTCCGGGACAAGACGGAAAAACGGGAATGCTACGCTCTTTCGCACGGGGATGTAGCGTGTGTTTAACACGTTTAAAAGAGGAGGTTTAAACAAGCCTAGTGACACGAGGAACCAGAAGAAAAAAACAGGTGCCTACAAACTAACTAAAGAGAGACTACGACGGAGAATTATTCCCATGTTCGTCGCGACGTTATCTCGGTAACGCGACTTCACTTGCAGTAGGAGTTTCGGTGTTTACTCGCCTGCTGTGAGTTTTGCTACACTTGAGTTTGACGGTGTATTTAGTCCAGGGCTGTCCCGCCATAGCAATCTGTTGCATCCCCCCTTCCTCCCCGCTGTTTGTTTATCGCACGGCTACGAGATTTCTCCCCACCTCCCCCGTGATGTTTCACTGCATACCCCTGTGGCGGTGCAGCCGTCATGTGGAGATGATCGATAAACGCCACTGCTCCCTGCTGTATGTGCCCGATGAGATTTACCGCTACGGACGGAGTTTGGAGGAGCTGTTGCTGGATGCCAACCAACTCCGAGACTTGCCCAAGGTAAGCAGAAAACCCGCTTCCGCTCACTCATGTTAATGGCAGGTTCAGATGCATGCGTATTTTTGGAAAGCTGAAATGCCTCCCTTCAGTTAAAGTGGTTCTGACACAGATCTGCTAACTGAGCTGATCCGACATCCAGTGAGAGGCTGTGGGGACCTGGGGACTTCACTTACGCAAGATCAGCAAGGCAAGCACCGTGTGTAGGTGGAACATTTTGTCTGGGTTTTGATCATAAAACATTCCCAGGTGTCTCCTGCATTCATGGCCAACCGCAAAGCTCTCACATTGTGTCTGATATCACAAGCCTGTTTGTGCATGCTGGGGTCAGATGACCCTTTGCCTCTGAACATGACAGAGGGCCATTAGTGTATGCAGAACACCTTAATACCTAACTCTTTCAGGGAGTTTAGCAATATGGTCACAATCTACTATGACTCACTAGGTCAGTATGAGTAATAGTGCTTATTTTTCTTCCTTGAGGGGAGTAATATTTATTTTATCTAGGAACTCCATCAGTGAAAAAAAAGACTCTTCTTGGGGTTAAAAGACATGACATCCACAAATCACAAAACAAGGATAATGCAAAAAAATATCAACAAAACCAAATCAGATATAAACATCAGAGAAAGTAAGTGTATCTTTCACATTCATAATGATGACTCACAAGTAAATTGTGTGTGAGCCTTAACTATCTGAAAGGTACAGCTAGGGGCAAGCTTTGCAAAAATAAGCTTAAACTGTAAATGCACCTGTGTGGAATTGGTTATTCTACTCACTTGTACCTATAAGTAAACATAAAGTTAATGACCTATCGATTCTACATGATCCGCTGTTGAGCCATATTCGTAGGTACATGAAGTCATCTTTTAAGAGAGCCACATCAAGCTACACTTGACTGTAACCCTACAGACACAAGCACACTCTGCATCATATGCTGATTGAAGCACACCATCACATTAAAAGCTATGTAGGCGGTGTGTGAGGGTTCTCTGTTTGAATTACTGACCGGCTTGATGAGGGGGGGGGGAGGGTAGAGGGGATACACAAGACAAGCTGTCTTACTGGAGACCCTAGTCCTCTGGATTAAGGCATACTTGTTAAAGGATTTGCAGGTTATTTCCCAGGGGCACGGATGGTTAATGTCGTATTTGTCTGTCAGGGCGTTATTACTGGAGCTCCTAGTTTCGACCTGTGATGTCTTTTTGACATATAGCCTCGAGCTGCTACAGTCAGTTAAAGGACGGCTGACTTTAGTGGTTTTGTAGCATTTTCCCTTAGTTTCGGTCTGGAGAGGGTATTTTAAGCCTGAGAAATGTGTGCTCTCAGTGTAACTCTCAAAAGCTTCAAATGCATTGAGTAATATATAAGGTCTACCTCTGTGTGTGACAAGTGGACAGATTGTGGAATAAGGCTTGAGATAACTGAAGTCATGGCAGGTCAATGTAAATCGACCTGGGATTGAAAGACTACTTTATGCCTCTGACATGCCTTTCTTCACACTCATAATCACAAGTGTGTAATTTAAAGAAAACACCCCTCAACCTCAACCATAAATAAAACTACTCTGGTTGGCTCTTTAACTTTCAAGTAGTTTAAGTAGCATGATGATTTGTTTTATGTCTACGCTACGAAAGAAAAGAGGGCTGAAAGAGTATTTTTGGGCTTGGCATGTCCATAGAAATGTGATGGCACAGAGATAATGTGAGCAACCTCCCATGGCCATGTCACACTGCTTACTTTGTCCATTGGAGAAAAGCACAGGAACAGGTATTCTGACTGGAAACAAAGACAGCATTATGTGTTGTATTGTTGCCTTGCTCACGCATTTGTATGTGCTAGTGTTTTCGAATAATGAATCATTGACCTGAATAGTTTAGTTCAGACCTATCAAACCATAAACACAGCAGACGGTACACCTGAGAAACTTGGTGCGGGTCAAAGTATAATTTCTTTCCATCAGCCGTGCCCTCAAAGAGGTGACTAACAGGTGTACTCACTGTGACAACACATGATGACAGTTTAAGCACTGCTATGCTCCGTTCAGAAATATTCAAAGTATGTTCAAAGGGTATAGGGGTTGTGACATGAGAAACTGTTTATTGTGCTCTTTGGCGTGTTACTAATGTCATCAATGCTTGCTAAGTGAACCCAAGAAACGTCGTACTGCATAACCCTTTGTCCAGTTCAGTGCTCGCTGTGTGGCCTTTTCACATTTGCCTCCGAGGTGACTGAATGGATAAACACGGACTGACCACTTACTATCGTAGTGAAAATGATGTAACAACGACACAGTAACATATTTCAAGTCAATCATTTCCACCAGCATGCAGATAAAAACATGCACACAGCAGTTTTAACGATGAGGTGAAACAGCAAAGGTGTGTTTTTAATTATGAGGCAAGCTGAATTTGAGCTAGTTTTGCAATAGTCTTACAAAGAGAAATCATCTGACCACTTTATGGAGACGGAAAGCAAGGGTATATTTAAAAGGTTCACTTCTCAATTTCTTTCTTTACCTGTGTCTCTTTGATCATTAATGTATTCTTCTTGCTGAGGCTGTGGACCAAAATGTGCAAACAGTAACTTGTTTCTCTTTGTTTGTTCAAAGTTCCCCTTAAGCAACTAAAACTCAAGATACATATATATGGCAAACAGAAGTTGTTGGCTTACTTTAAAGCTGTCAAACAACTGTAAGAAACTAAGTGGTGATAAGAAGAATAGAAGTGAAAGACCTGCTGCTCCTGCCTGTTAGTCCAGTTCCTAGCTCCAGTGAAACTGTAACACAGAGGTGTGGGTGGCTGTTTCAAAAACTATTGTTCATCTTTCTAACATCTGCAATGTATGTACCCATGCTTACTATAATGATTTTTAACTGCAACAATTATTCATAAATAAATGACTCTATCAATAGAGCAGCAATTTTAAAATCATACAATGGTTTCCTTAATTTTTGAAGCAAAATATTTGAACTTTCAGCTTCCTCAATGGGAGGATGTGATGCTTTTCTTCATCATATATCATAGTTAACTGAACATATTTAGGTTTTTGACTGATGACGAGGAAAACAGGCCATTTGAATGCATCCCTTTGGGCTGTATTCAGTTTAAATGGGACTAAATGATTAGTTGTGTGGATTAATTAATGATTAAATAAAATTTGTTTGCAGCTCTCCGGGCTATATTTGAAACAGTTGGTTGAATTACTTGCCAAAAATGTTGCTAATTCATTGTTTAAGTATTCCTTTTTTTTAAAACCATAGTGTAAAAAAACTGTTGGTTCCAGCTTCTCAAATGTGAAGATCTGGTGTATTTCTTCTTATTTTTATTATCTTTTATATGAGCATACATTACATCTTTGGTTTTTTGATTTTTTTTGTCGGATAAGCAAACTTCTAATTCAATCCGGAGAAGCTTTTTGGGGCCATTTAAAAAAGCCTCACAGTGATGGAGAGAAGAACCCACATTGAGACAGGTTCGAGGTGTTTTGACATGTGTGAAAAGCTAAATATAGTGGTGTTATGAATCCCAGAAGCTGGTGGTTGAACTGACTCATGAAGAAGATTTTCTTGCAAAGAAAGAATGTTCATACAGTTGGTGCAGTTGTTGAGTTTCTGACATGTGGTTGTGCTTCAGACAGATTTAACCCTGGCCTCTGCTGTGATACATAATACCGTATGCATACATGTAACATAAGAAGCATTCAACACACGTCTTTTACTTTGGCTAAGTCTTTATGGCTGTAGGGTTTTGGCCCTGCTGATGTTAAGGCTGATGTTGAACTTCTAATTTAGGCTAGAATTTTGATACATATCTAAAAACACGTCTGGTATTGTATGAAAATGTTACGGGATTTTTCTGATATCTTGCAGACGGAGCAATGATCCATGCAGGCACTTCCAAACAAACACCTTCATGCTTCTACTTGTTCTCTAACAAACAATGCTGAAGGTGAAACTGAGGATTCAAACATTGACTCCAGAGCTGAGAGAATGGTTAATGTTTTCTGGACTCAGCCTGTTTTAGGTTTTGTGTCACACATGGGTGATTGTTTGGGGCGTGGCCCTGAATGACACCAACAGGAAGAACAGGTTTGGTGTCACTGTCCCAATGCAAGACTCACAAAAAAAAAATAGAGCGATGATACAGAACAAATGTAGTTTTGCTCTTTGCTAGTCCTTGTTATGAAAAGCATTCGAATGAAACAGCCTCTGCTTTGTCTCGAGCTAGTAGTTTTGAATCCTTGATACTAAAGGATGCAGAGTACCTGCTGTGATTGCATCCGGCTCTGATTGTTGTGTCAAAGGAGAAGCATAGTTCAAGTAGGAAGTCTGAGAGATGTTAACACATTATACAGTTAACTGTAAAACTCAGTTGGTGTTATTTTGTTTTAATCTGCCACAGTTAAGGTTGTTTTTTCTCAAATTGAACAAGTCTGTACAAGCAAACACTGCCTTGAGGATATGATAGAAGGACACATCTCTAAGCTGTACACTTGAATAGAAAACAGCCCCCACTCTTTTATTGTTGCAAGCAAGTGAAATGTGAAAGTGAAGGTGGTTAAGGTGCAACAACTCAAACAGAAAGTCATTGGTTGTGAGAGTAAAGGTTTGTTGACGATGGATTAAAGACTGTTTGAACTGTCTTAAGGCATTGCGATGACTTGTTCTTTTTGTAATAGGGTGGGGTTGGACTACTGGACTCTTGGGTTTTATTTATTGTGCAAACATTAAAATGTAATCTGTACCTGGATATGGCCTACAGATAATGAGCGTCCTGATTGAGAGTTCTTAACTCATTTACACTTAGTTGACATAAATCATAATCAGATGTGATGGTGTGACTATGGCTTTTATACACCGTTTTTTTCAATCTCACCAACATTAAACACAATGTTACATTTACCGGAGCATGCAAAAACCCAGGACAATCGGCTAATGTAAAGGGGAACACCGTGCTTGTTTCCTCAAAATGTAAAGACACACTTTCTCTAAAGCCTGAAATTGTTCCTCTACCATCCATTTGAAAGCCATACTAAACCTAAAACCTGTTTGTTTTAGGCAGGTGGTATTAAAAGGCTTTTGCAGCTTTGAATTGATGGCCAATGGTGACGCATTGTTACGGGATAAAAGACTACAACTTATCAACTTGTTTGCTGGGAATACAAATCCATTGTGTTGTCCTTGTTCAACAAGTGCAACAGGCTTGTTTAGAGAACAACCTTGTTTGTTCATCCACATTTTAGATTAATATATCAGCTAGGGACATACTGGACATACTTCAGCAACCGAAGTGATTGATTGTTTGAATGAGAAATGTATGTATTTAGAAACTGCGTTCATGGATGAGTAGTCATCACCAGCTGCCTTGAAACCATCAACAGCAGGAAAAATACAAAGGCCAGAGGGGAAATTCATGAGTCGGCTTTTTCTGTTCATGCCAAAACATTAATGGAACCTGAAGCCATGTTGTAAGCTACCTGCTTTACCACAACAGAGAACAACTCTGTCTGCTCTTGTTCAGAACATCAAGTTTATGCTTGTGATAATTGATTTTGCCTTTTTTAAAGGACTGCGGCAAATGGAATCTTCTTTTAATAAGTTCATTAGTAAGATGTGACGACTCCAAAAAAATGTACGCGTTCTTGTCGCTCTGAAATGTAGTGTGGTATTGTCAAGAAAGCATAGGAGAGGGGTCTGTAATTTACACAGTCTAATAAATGGGAGATGAATTGGATAAACCTGTTATCAGATATCCATGGTTTGAATACAAATCTGAATACCTCAGAGTGAGGACACATTTCCTGTTAATTATAATTCTTCTAAATGGAATATCACTGATACAAATGAGTTCAGTCAACAGGGCACTGGACATGTTTCCTATTGTTTAAGTTTGTACAAATGGAGCGAAGCAGTGAAAGAAGGGAAAAAATAAAGACAGCATGTTGAGGCCGCAGTGATCCAAGTATCGAATTAGAGAATTTTGTGTTTTCGGATGCATTTTTACAAAACAAGCTTTAAATTCTGTATCCAGTTCAGGGTGTATTTGTTGTCAAAGAGCATTGATCCCTTTGGATACTGTTTATTTTGAACTGAATGTGCTTTTCTTTTCACCTTTCAGCCATTTTTCCAGCTGGTGAAACTAAGAAAACTTGGCCTGAGTGACAACGAGATCCAGAGACTTCCTCCAGAGATAGCAAACTTCATGCAGCTGGTAGAACTGGATGTCTCTCGAAATGGTAAGAATGGAAAACACTGATATACCCAAGCAGTACAAAAGTAGACTAGAATAATATAACACATACCCATTTCTTACATTTTACACTTCATAACTGTGTTTCTAAGTATATTTGACTTGGCTGTTAGAAGAATATATCTTTACAGTTGAGCAACACAGCACTAAGTTCAGCGAATGAATCACAATGACAGATTTATTCCTCCTCAGTGAAGCTGTTGCAACAAACGCATAAAAATAAAGCATGGCTTGCATTAAGCCTGAATCTGAAGAGTCGTTTGAATATACCCGAACATATTCCTTTAGATACACTTGTGAGGTTCGTCCTGCAACAGAGCAGGCTGTGAAACTATACGCAGACGGTAAAAGTGAGACCAACATTTGTTTGCTTTTTTTTATTAAATTAAAATGTTTTAAATGATGGTTAATCCTTTTTGGTCAACATTTAATCCACTGCACTTAACTATTAAATAATAATCAGGTCTTTTTTGAAACCACTTTTTGACATTTCTGAATAATATCTGCACCTTTTAAATCTTTTAAGTGTTTTTATGTTGCATCACCCACATTTAAAGCAACTGTCAATAACATGTTATCTTGACCTGTATTATTGAAGTGCTGCAGACTGTGTTGTTTTTATTTTTGATTAAGAGATGTTTTGTCTTTTCTCTTCATTAGATATTATTGAAATTCCAGAGAGCATTTCGTACTGCAAAGCCCTCCAAGTGGCAGACTTCAGTGGGAATCCACTGACAAGGTAGTCCTCCAGATAATGCTGTGTTTTACTGCCTAAAAATTCATATTTAAAACTTCTATGTTTTTCTGTGAAAAATAATTCTGTTTCAAAGTTGCTTAATAAAACAAACACATTTCTTAATTATTTAGATCCTTTATATTCATCCATCTTTCCCCAAAAGAACCGGTTCACTAAAAGAAAAATCATAACAAAACAGGATTACATCTTCAAACATTTCTAAAAATAATATGTTTCTTTTTGAAAAGGGATTTCTGTTTCCATTGTCTGCACCGTGGATTTTATAAGACCCCCTGCTGTTGTGAACCTTCACACGCCTTGCATGAGAGATTGCATATTGTGCAAACATATGCATTTTATCGTGTGGTTGAGACTAAATCTAATTTTCCTCTCAGCAGGCACTTAATCACATTGCTTGGTTGAAAACAGTTGAGGAGGCAACAATGACGATTATTACAAACACTTTGGTGTACTTTTCAAGTGCAAACAAGCTTGCACACGGAAAAACAAGCCATGTTTTTTTCCAGCATAATTGTAGTCTAGTTTTCCACCCAGTTATTAGTCTTATTTTAACCATTTGATAGGAAAGGTACATGTCCGGCTAAATATATAGCATGGCCCATTCTTATTGTTGACTATAAAAATTACACATTTTTCCCATGTGAGATTTAAGTGGAAAATGAGCATTTTGCTGTGTTTCTTGACTTATCAGAATATAGGAATATCTATGATTTAGTTGTCTGTATTGGCTCTGTTGTCAAAGGTCATTTGAGGATTGCTGGCAGATTCCAGTTTAAATTAACGTGCACACAAGTTGTCGATCATTTTCTTAGGTAATATACAATAGAATAGAAAGCTATATTATTTTCATTATACAAAAAACCTACCTGTCTGATTTCAAGGCTTTAAAATGAGTGAATTCAATATGATCTTACATTACTCCCAAAAATGTTTGAATTCAAATAAGAACATATGTAACCTTTTTCTCACCGGCCCTTATTTATGTATATAGTTTAACAACATCAAATCAAAATGCACTTGGGCTGCCACTATAAGTAGAGAACCATTATTTTGTTGCTGCTATCGCTGCCATCTAAGTTGTCTCATCTGAGTCAAAATCAAAATGTAAGACGGTAATGGTTTTTTAAGTAGAAACAAAGACAAAATAAAGTTGTGGTTGTCGCTGTGTGAACAAGCAGATAATGAGTCCATTTAGGGACTTGACTTTGAATTGCCTTTCTTCACATACTGCTAACGTCATAGGCTATTTTGTGGCAGCAATGTGCATCTAGTTTAACTAAACTATTGCTGAAATAAGTCCAGGAACATACAATAAATTATCCTGTGTAATCACAGCCTGACAACCTGGAGTTGAACAGGAATCTCTTGACTGTTTTTGTTCCTTTTTTGGTGTTTATACACAAGTTAAAACATTTGGTTGTATGTAGGGGATCACAAAAAGGGCAAGGCCGAGGGCAAAGATGAAAAGGAACATGCAGAGATAAACTTTATCAACGTATCAAAGACTTTATGGCTTAAGTGTGGTAAACTGTTGCTTGACATTGCTTAAGTTCAGCACACACTAGCCATAAAGAAATGACCAAAATATTTGTTAAAAGAGTTTTAACAAAATAATAATAATCTGTGTGTCATCCTCTCACATGTCTTTGTGTTTTCACAGGTTACCTGAAAGTTTTCCGGAGCTGAGGAATCTCACATGCCTTTCCATCAATGATATTTCATTGCAAGTGCTTCCAGAGAACATCGGGAAGTGAGTAAACGCACCATTTCATCATACTTGTTCTGACATGTTGAGTTTATCTCGCCTTTGCCAGTAAAACATTTCCGCACAGTTTAATAGCAGCCCCCAGGTTAATATAATGTAACGTTGTCATCAAGGTCAACTTAGGCTGCGTTCACACAGGAGTGGTTGGATTGTGTCGGTACTTGTAAATGGATTTACTGAAACATATTTAGTCCAAAATCAGGTTATTGAGGTTATTGGACCTGTCAGTCCATTTCCCCAATATGGTCACAAGCAGAAAGTTGTGATGAACGTCCATCTATAGTGACATAAAAGTCGCATGGATGCTGATATGAATGTCCAGATTGAGGTTGCATTGAGAAATCCACACATAGGAAGTAAATTAAATAAAACATTCTGATTCAAAGCGAGTTTGCTGTTCATACTGTTATCAAAAAAAGGTTTCTGAGTTTGCACTTTGGCTTCTAAGTTCTGAGTGAACTTAGCCTTTTAGTCATGTAATGTCCCGTCTGCCTCTCTTTGCATCTCCTTGTCTCACAATTTGCTTCTGCCTTCTGTCTGGCTATGGTAATCATCACATTTACCTATGATTGCATTTTATTCAAAGTGTTGTACATTTCTATTGTCTCCTTTTCCCCTGATACTAATCATTTGTACTAAAAATCTCATGACATCGGGGAAACCCACCAACCAAACTCCTTGGACCCATTGTCTTTGTTCATAAAAGGCTTTTTTTCTGTGCTGGCATATCATCTGCTGCAGTTAAGAGGCATGTCTGGCCAACATTTCTATTCCCATGGGGTCTCTCTTATTATAATTTGATTTAATAAGGCAACTATGTGCTTTTAGGTCAAATTGCCACAAGGGATGTTTTTAGTAGTTAGGAGTTCAGAGGAAACTGAATGTAAACCCATTCAGGGAGGGATTTGAAAGGATAACATTACTAGACATGCACATTTGTTTAGAAATGTTGATAATATCCTGACATTCGACTGATTTTAAAAGGCACTTGACTGCTGAGAAAGTCAGACACTTGATTTTTAAAACACATTACACAATGTTATCCTAATGCACTTTTTAAAGATAGAATTACAAGAAACACATGTCAATAAAGTCATGTTCTTAAAAGTCATGTTCTTAAAAGGCATTTTTTCGTTGAGCCACTTGTCCAGTAGTACTTTTTAAACCATTATTGGCAGTGCTCTGGATGGCATATTTTAACCATTAGATAACTGTTGAACGCATTGAAGCTAAACTAAACAGAGATGTGTCTTGGCTTGCCATGCTGCCTTACATTAAGCATTACTGCTGAACCTCTAAGGCAGGGGTGTCAAACTCAATTTCAACTCGGGCCACATTAGCATTATGGTTGCACTCAAAGGGCCAGTTTTATATATAAGACTATATAAGAATAAATATATATAAAATCATTTATTATATAACATTATTTCCTCTGCATTGGATTATTATCGGATAGGTCACTTCATAATTAACTAAGTCTGAAAGCAGAACTCTAGGGCAAACAATTGCAAGTCTCTTCAGTGCGCATGTCACAAAATGATTTCAAAATAAAAGCCAAATTCTGGAAAAACAAAA